GTGTTTAAAAATAGACATTACAGCTGGCGCCAAGATTACAGCCGATCGTTACGTCACAGCACCGTTCTACACACACACCATACCACACTTACACGTTTTCCGCCCAAAAAAAAAATTCGATCGAAAATCGAGCAAAACTATCGATTTTTCCTCTCGACGTTTTCGTTCTTCCTTGGACTGTAATCGCCCAGAGCACGCTACAACGCTAATACTTTACCGAATTGTTATCCCACATAGTCTTAATAGTGTGGATTAAAAATTGCGATACTTAATAGAAATAGTCGGATATTTGAGGTAGTCTTCGGTTTTCGTTCTTACCGCAATTCCGTCGTCGTTATGGGCATAAGTCTGTGGTTTGTCTTTTTTTTCGGCGAACTAAGGGAGAGAGAACTATAGAGATAGAGGATGTGGGTGTCTTCGCCCGGTGCCGCCGTGTGCATTATTATCGGACATGTGTCTGAGTGTCTGCCGGCGGGCGCCACCGCTCTCCGACGACGACGACGGCGACCCACCTGCACACACACAACCTGCCCACACTCGTTCTTCCATCCACACATTCTTACTTGCATGCATGCATTCATCCATCCAACAGGCGCCCTACCGTTGCCCACATGTTAGCAGGTACAAAAAAAAAAGACTTTCCTTCAACCGTTTCCGGCCCTTTATACATCGCCTTCCGGCCATCATCCACTTCAGCGTCTTCTTTATAATTCTTCGAAGATCACTAATTGAATCACTAAATCTTAGTATTGGATTAATTGAATTAATCTACCGCAAATTTCAAATTATTTCTCACCGCATCGACGGAGAACAAACGTGCGTTGTCATAGCAACGTTTATTTACCATCGAATTCCTTAGATACATAATAAAAGGAAGCTACTCGAGATGGTAAATAGTTTGGGTAAACAAGTTGATAAGACCTCAAGTACATTGGGTATCAACTTGATCTTAATCCTAGCGGTGCCATAACGCGACCGGCGAAAAATTCGTTCAGACGACGACCACTTCAATAACAACAGACGCACACATAACCGATGCTAATTCAATTTACTTGGATTTTTTTTATTACTTCAAATTTTCGTTTCGTTATGCAAGATAATGCAGTCCAAATAGATACAACGAGTTCAAGTGTTTCGGTGAATTGTTAGTTTTATTACGATCGCAAACGATGAAAATCAATTTATATATATAAAAAAAAACAGTAGAAAAAACATATTTCAATTAATTAAAACTAATTATATCTCGAGTGCACTGAAAACACGCCACTTAATCGTTTCGGTAGAGAGAAACGAAAAATCGCGCAAGCAGAGACAAAAATAATTAAACTTTCGGTGAATTACTTTAATTGTGTAAATGATATTATCGGAGAAGTTAAGGATGCGAATGTTAAGCGAAGACAGCTGTGCGAGCGAAGCGAGCACCACTCTCGGTTTCTAATTACCGAGAGCGGTGAAATTAAGAAGAAGAAAAAAAAATGTTGAGGCTCTCGCAATTCGCGGAGATTAATTGAAAGTTCGTGGAAGACGGAAAACTGTAATGGATTTTTTCGCTTAATGACGATGCAAACGATAATATCATTTTCATGTTTGGTGTTAACATTTTTCTGGTTTTGGTAATTGTATGCGTTTTTTTTGGGGTCGAAGACGACATTAATTTGGCAGTGATGGATGCGGAGGAGGCTGCGCCGGACGCAACAAGTGTCGAAGGATCGTTTCCTCGGAAGATGCTCGCAACAAGTTCCCAATTCTTCCTTTGTTTGTTTTTTTTTTCTTCTTCTTTTCGTCAAACGAGAGCGAACGCAACAGGCGAAACTATCTATTTCGCAGCCGAAACTCGGAAGATTTATCTATTACTGTATCATCCGCACTTTCTCCCCAAGTCTCTTAGAATTATTAGAAAGACCAATGTTTTACAGAGTTTACAGTTAAAACAAATCAATAATAATTAAATTAAATTTTTAAATAGACAATTACTTTTGATGATTTGTCTAAATTGAAGCACTCAAATTGAAATTCAGTTGCACGATTAATGGGTGTAAATTCAGCGTAATGAAATTCGATCGCGTGGAATGTTTTTACTTAATTATTTTTCTCGTACACGTATACACACAATTTAACTATATTTTTTTTACTACTTTTTTTCGCTGTTGGTCACCGCAGCGAGCGACGGAGATTATAAATTATTACAGCAATTTCCGGTATTCGCGGATCGTCGACGTTCGAGGCGGTTTTCTTATTTTTTTTTTCTGTACTTTATTTTTTCGCGCGTGTGTTATTTCTTTCGAAATTTATTAATCCCTGGAATGAGGATGTGCACGTCTCGGCAGGATGCGAGCAGTTTTTTTGGGTGATTTTTTGGAAAATGATGTAGCGGAAAAGTGGATGATCGGTAGTAGGCAGCAATCAAGATCAGCAGTAGCAGAAAGCAGGCAACGTAGAAGAGGAGAGGCAAACAAAAATCGGTTATTTCTGTCCTGTCTTGTTGCCTCTCTTGAAATGTGCCGGCGTCTCGGTCGTCCTTGTCCGGCGAACGGCGGCGCACTTTAATTGTCCTTGTCTAGTCGATTACGATAGCTTCGTCCTTGTTCCGCGTGGCGCCAGCCATACGCCGCATAACTTGCCTCGATGTCGCCCGACAAATCGAACCGAAAAACCGTGCTCTCCTCCTCTACCTTCTACTACTGCTGCTGCTGCTTAATGCACGACGTTTCAACGTACGAACGTATATTATACTTGAAGGATGAGGCTCAAATCGGAGCGAAAATTTTCACGATTTTTCTTTTTGGTAAACTCAGCCGACGAAGCTGACGCTCTTCTTTTTCTCTTTTCGCTCTCGCGACTTTTTAACCGGCGAGATAAGATCACGGCTAAAAATAGAATTCGCGTAGAGTGTAAAATGCGTCGGCCGCTCTAGCCTCTGGCCATCGTTCGAGGCTCTTCCATTTCGACAATCCCGCTTCGACCTGTTGCTCCCAGAACATGGTAAGACTAGGGGAAGAACAAAACCCCTTCCGCCTTCTACGCTCATCATTTTGCAACCAAAACCAATTCTTCTTCATCGATTCTCTTCCTTTCTTCTTCCTCGTCTTTAGGAGAGTGGAATTGGTTTGGTTTGGACGGTGTGTGTATGCATGTGTGTGTGTGAAGTGAGTGGTGCCGGCGCCAGCGTGTTGTGGCTGAACGGATCGCAATGACCTAACGGCTAAATTTAGACACGGTCGGTCGGTCGGACGCAATTCACATGGCGTTATTTATTGTCAAACGGGAACGATCGGACTCTCAGATATCCCTTTTAACATCGCGCTCTCTGCACACTCACTTCCTCAACGCACACACTCTTGACAACATGTTACTCCTCCTACCTCTCATCGAAAATCTCGCAACAACAACAAAAACAACAGCAGCAAAAAGGAAACCGCAAACCGATAGATCCGATACCAAAATTAGATGATGTGGGCGAGAAGGGAACGCGACGCGATAATCGAACCGACGACGTCGCCTCTGCCTGCGTCCTGCAACAATTTAATTGCGAATTACACGGCCGCAAATAAATTATTTCGCACGGTTTCGCCTTCTGCCAAGAAAACCAGAATTCTACGCTGATGTATGCACCCAAATTAATTTCATCAAAAAATAAATATAAAAAATGACAGTCGCAACGGAGACGGACAGATATAGAGGAGATCGTGAGAAGGATTGAAACCTGAATATTTATTATTCGATACCTTGACATCGTCTTCAGGGCCTCAAATTTTCATAAATGCATACAAAATCATTTTACATCAAATGCAATAAACTCTAGCCCCGGTCCTGTCTAGTATTATTTTTATAACGGTTTGCGAATCCGATTCGAGCAATATCGAAAGATAATCCCCGAAACCTCTATAAATACAGGTTGTTTTTCCATCCGATCCGATCTGTACTAGACTAGAGGCAATAAAAAAAATTCGGATGAGCGATGATTCAATGCACTGCAACAGTTCAATCCCACTTTCGTTTCTGTAATTCCACAGCCAATACATAATCTCGAACAACTTTATTATTTTCAATTTATTATAAAGATGAATTAATCTAACAAAATTATCTAATTTTTAATGTTATTAATTTGTCCACTTTAAATTTTAATTAAAATAAAATTACTTTTATAATTGCGTTCAACATTTGCAAATTATATAAAATGTTATGTAAATCATTTCGTTCGGTATATTTAAATTTGTAAGATGCGGAAGAACATTGGTAAGGATATAGGAGGATGATTGAGAAGTTTGTTGTTGTCTTTCGGATCTTTTCCTACCATGTGTGTGTGTATGTATATAAGTTGTGTATGAGATAGAGTGTGTGTGTTGTGTGGTGTTCCACGCCCTAAGCGCCGCGGGGGCTTCGTCGGACCGCAAAGCAAATGGGGGGATCGAGAGGGGAACCGCTAACGAGGGGACTTCTTGGTCACCTTGAATGGGGCCCGTGCAGAGCGACGAACACAGAAAGAGAGAACGAGGCACACACATGATGTCATGTGCAATCACCTACCGCCGTTCAAATCACGAAAAAATAAATAATATGTATATCTACATATCGAATAGAAGAGATTCGATTGAATAAAACCGAAAAATTGTGTATGTATATGAAATGCGGTGAGCGCAAACAGCAGCAGTAGAAGAATCTGAGCTGGACCCGATCACGAGATGGCGCTCGAGCGGAAAGCGGTTTTATCCACTGTCCGACTCTCCTCCTTCGCGTTTGTGTCAAATAAATTAGTCGAATTATTATGTTTATATATTTATAAACGATATTCTCGATGCAATTACGGTGCGCTATTTATAAACGTGGCGCCAGGCGGCTGCTCTCTTCGCCGCGCCGCGCCACGGCCGGATTTGAATAAATCGAATATTTCAGGTCGCCCGTTTCCAATACCTCTCTTTCTCACCGCTTTGACTCTTCGGCCGCACCGTAGAAGAAACAATGAACGCCGAAGAAGAGTATATTAAGAGTTTTCGGCTTACCTTCTCCGTTTGTGGTCAGGGAGCCCGGATAGGAATCCCTGCAGACTATGGACGCTTCGCTCGGGGCACGATCTGCAAAGAAAACAAATAATTTATTAGTAAAACTGTAAGATGGATGAAGAGTTCCTCCTTAGGTGGCGTGCGGGAGGAACGCTTCTCCAGTTCTTGACGGATGAATGAAAAACTATTTCGATCGTCGCCGGAACGGAATCCGCATCTAAATATACTACCCGCTCTATAAATAATTAAGACACACGCATTTAAGGAAGGAGGTGGTATACGAGGATTGAAGACGCCGCCACCGCCGCCGAAGATGGTGAAGAATGAGAAGAAGAAGAAGATCGCGGATGATTCTTCTCTTTCTTTATTTCTCTTTCAAGACACATTTACACCGTTTCGTCCTTTTCGGAATGGGGGGCGGCGGGGGCCTCGAAAATTTATGAAGTGGCTTTCGGTTTTAGTCTCTTGCCTTCTCTCCTCCGTTCATCCTTCCTCATCTCTCTCTCTCTCTCTCTTAATTTAATTTATTTGAGTATAGTTCACATGCAGTTGGCCTTGGAAGGCGCCGCTATACATCCACGTGTGTACGTATATATATATATGTGCGTGGAGAGCGGACGAGAAGAGCACAACGAAGACGACCAAAACTCAATAAGTAAATAAACGCAATACTTCCCAAGCATTTATACAAAATAATTATAACTCGAAGGAATCAAATTTACTTTACTCATAAAATTTTACATTTTACACTTCTGAAACCCGTTGCAGATAACATCGAAAATAAATTACATCACAATTTTTACGTATGCGATTGCAAAGTGTCAATATCTTATCTTATCTGACAACGCGTAAACAATTCCCCTACAATAGCTCCTACATAATCCCTGTACTACTACTACCTTTTTTTTTAGAATAGATACCCGAAAATACTATTATCACGAATCACGTGCATCCAAAATCCTAGTATTTCTCATTTCTCTTATACATTTCACACATATTGAAATTTCGTCAAATAATTGTAAGAAATTTTGCTCGAATTTTCTATAATTTCATTACTGCAGTTGTTTTTTTTATTACCATTATTATTTAGTAATTGTCCTAATTAATTTGAAGCGTCAGTTTGATAAATAACGTAAAATGGATAATATTCATTGATAAATTTTAAATTTTGTAAATATTTTCGTTATCTTACTTCCTTAGGAACTTTAAGTGAATATCGAAGTAGTTGAAAAGACACGTATCGAAAATATGTTTGTAAATTCCTTAGCATTGAAATGTATGGGTACGTTTGAGTGGAAATGCTGTATATTGTTAGGTAACTGTAGATGGTGTTGGTTGCGTGAAAAGATCTGTCGTGAGGTCGATAATTAAGAGGTACGGCGGCGATGTTGTTGCTGCTGTTCCTGTACAACAAATCGTAGATCGAGATTAGTTGGAATTTGGATTCCTTTGTTTTCGGAAGTGCGCGAGACGTCCCCGGAATGGATAATAGCTGCGGTGGCGCCGCACGCGTAACACATTTTTTAGCACAATGGTCTTTGTGTCCCGTTATTAGGAGCGACGGTGGCGGCGAAAACGGCCTCGTCTGTTCTCTCCCCCAATCTCCGTTCACGTTTTCTCTCTGCATAAATAAATAAATGAAACGTGCGCCGCGAAGAAGAAGCGCCTCTGCGCTCTTTCCGCGTGTGTGCGCTGCACACACGCACCAACGGCACAGGTGTTTTTTCCTGATCCGCGCGTTTGGGTCACATATGGACATATAGATGTGTTTATTCGTGTGTTTGTATCGACATACCACAAGGGGCCACACCTTTCGGATACCTCCGAAGTGCGGTCGTCGAGTAGAAAGAGAGGACATCGTTGGTTGTTATTGTAATTGTCGTCGTCGTTGTTGTAGTCCTGACAGATCAGGATGGATGGAATAGGCTTACTTTTACATTCGCATACGACACGCACGGATATCAACGTGCAAGCGTTTATCCAAATGCGTGTGTGTATGCATATGCCTGTGCTTGCATTTCCACATATAAATAGCCATTTTGTCTAAATTTCAGTGCGCTTGAGCGACGCTCAACACGCGCGCGGCAAAACAGTGGGACACTTGTTGCTCCGGGCAACAAGTCCTCCGTCTCCTCCTCAACTCTTTTTCACCCTTCAAAAAAAATTTATAATAATATGGAAATACCCGCCATCTCCGCAGCGATAAAAATTCGCGTGGGACCCAGCACTGAGCCTCGGGGAACACCAGCAAAGCGATCCTAGCTCGCGCTCGCACGAAGTTCGTTCCGTGATCATCTAAGTATGCACGTAAGCACGCATGGATGTGCCGAGAGAAGAGCTCATTGCACTCTCCGCTCAAGTTGACGTTGTCATCAAGGCCGTTCGCTCAAGTTTCAATGCCTGATATATTTTTATATACATACATACACACACACAGAGAGAGAGCAAGAGAGGCCTCGGCACAAACTCTTCTTTTCCGCTTGCTTCTTCCTCACTTACTCGAATCGCCAATAGCAGAAAGAGAAGAAAAGAATATAAAATGAAAAGGACTGGACGAAAAGGACGTGTTCCAGATATAGAGTTATCTCGCGTGCTTCCTTCCATTTTTTGCCCAAACATGGTCGTCGACTATATAAATTATTTAAAAACCATCCGTTTTTGGATTCGCTCCTCAGAGACACTCACCTTCAGGATTAAAACTGTCCATGGCGAACTGCGAATACGGAGGTGGCGGCGACTCTAAAGAAACAAACAAATAAAACACAACCATTAAAAAAAAAGCAATTCAATCAAAGTAACTTTACTATACAACACGAAATATTATGCTTATCAAACACTTTGATGTGTACCCAAACAAAAATCCAATGGAATTAAGACACTATTTGTGCTATTCAGATCTCTGTGCTGGATAACGCTCGACCCGAAGTCATAAAGCTATTTAGTAAGTAATAAAATCCCATTTAATGCCATCTCGTAAATCAGAGCCGAGAATTACAAAAATAAAATAATAATGTGAGCTCAATTGCAAAACCAAAATCGGAATTCGATTCCGGTATAATCGTCGTCGCTTCAAGCATCTCTCTGATAATCTCCGATGGATCAACCCGTATTTACTCAAGTTATGTGCCCCAGTTTTGTTACGTGTTTCTGATTACGGCTTAAGATCAAGCACACATTGTTTATATGCAATACAAATAATACGAACACACACAAACGAAGAGCGAACAAGAAAGAGACGCGCATATGCAAAATAAAAACAAAACAAAATGTCAATTCCACTTATCTGCCAGACTTAATCTCCGGATAAAATTGTTATTTAATATAAACAAGTTTGTCGTCGTTTCGACACGCTGTTTATAATTAACGTCAGCGAGTAAATCATTTCGGCATTTTCGCTTATGCATTCGCATATATTTATTTTTGAATATATATAGAAAAATTCACGGGCACTTTCTAAATTTTAAAATATTTAAAAAACCGAGAGAAACAAAATAAAAAAATATAGATATTGATGATGATCATAGTCAATGGATTGTTAATGAAACGAAACCGTTTGACAGCTGTCATTAATCTAATGTAATTGACAGACAGTGACACTGGAGGAGGTTTAAATTAGGAAAGAGAGAGAGAGCGCGCGTTATTATTGTGAGAGCATCACTTTGTTGTGATGATAAAATATTCGCATTTCAATCGAGCCTCAGAGATAACGCGACGATGGGTTATGAAAAATTGAAAAGCGATTTCGATAACCCTACTACTATATAAGCGGTGATTACATAACGCGAGCGAAAAATCAAAGCGGGCCGACTTCAAAGACAGCGCCGATTATATATATATATTTCTGTCGTTTCTTTTGCCTCTTCGACAATTAACCCGAACTGTCACGATGACATTTCCCGGTTGAAGGGAGGCGTGACGCCGTTCGACACTCCCACGCGTGATTTGTGGCAATCGGAACGTGCATAAATCTTGCAACAATTCGATTCCTGCTGGTCTGTATCATTTATTCATTTGCTGTGGATAATTCAAGAGTTTTCTTGGTTTTAAGGGGAGGTAAAGCTTTGATTAGAAGAGAGATACGTCTTTGATTGGAAGGAAATGGCGTTAATATTCGCTTAAGATTTCGCGTTAATTGTAAACCGCATAGTTTATGTGTGTGTGTGTTTATTGATGGAGATAATGAGGGCCCCCGTCGCTCTATCTCTCTAACCTCTTCCTCATTATCTCTTGGGTTCGTAATAGCATCGAATTGGACGTAGGCCGGATAAGCTGCGGCTAAGTCGAGATAGATCGTTTAGAAACGAGAGAAATGCATGTGGGTAGTTTTCACGAAACCTATTCCTAGCATGGAAACCCATTGCAGCATTTGCACTATTCCACCGTCGCTCGTCCGTTCGTGCCTTATAAATAATCGACCGGCGCTCCTTGCAGACTTATGGGCCGAGCTAATAATCAATAGCGCAGGCCGACACAGTTCAATCCAAGACCACTTTTCCCTCAACCGTTATTACCATCCGCCATCATCATCATAATTATAATCGTCGTTGGCAAAAGCAAAGAACACTTGTTGAAATATTAACATGGTCCACATAAATTTACGTGCCCTTTTCACGACCACTACCATCATCATCATCATGAAAAGCCATCCTCGAGTCAGCAATGTCTCTCTGGTCGTCCCATTTACATAATTGCATTAAATCACCGCGCGGCCGTAAAACCAACAACGTGGTGCTGCGAGAAGAATGAGAGAGAGGTGGAGAGGATGAGGAGGCATTCATTATTCGTAATACGTCCGACGTATGCAGATTTCTGAAAAGGCCCCGAAGGGGCACAACGACCCTCGTTCATCCAATATCCCTAAACGCTGCACGATGGATTGCCCCAATAAAACATCCCACCGTCCCATTATTTACCCAACAATGACAACAAGCAGAAGGTCATAACTCTTCTTGTGTGCATTCAATTAAAATCTGCAATTCTACTACGTTTGATATTTCGCTCAGAATCTGGATTGTTCAGGAAGCGGAAGAAGCTTTTTCGCGCATATTAATTGATCGAAGATGAGGTGAACGTAGCTGTGCAGTCTGGTGCAGAGGAATCGAGGAGCGGCGCATCGGTTGTTGTTATTACGTTCGCCGCTCGCCTCTTGGAATCCGGCGCAAACGATTTCCGGTATTTCTATCTTTGCGCATTCTTCCTTTCATCTCACGGACAAACACGTACGCACGCATCTCGCATTCTTCTGAAGAAATGAATGTCGAAGGATTAAAGAACTATAGAGAGAAAGAGATAAAGAGAACGGTTCTATTTGAAGTGCACGCATCTGGAGGAACCGACCGACCGACCGAAAAAAATAAAGAAGTACCAGCGAGGAAGATCAAATGGTTAGGTTTTGTTGTGCGGTGAGGCACATATTTTCCCGGTCGCGTCATCCAGTTTGCGTGTGTCAGCAGAACGCTACTACTATGAGATCGAGGAAGAGAAGAGAGATCGATCTTTGATTCGTCTAATTTTGATGGCCGGATAATTATTTACCCCGGTGGAAATGAGATCGGGTTGTTTTGGTTGAAGAATGGTTCTTCTTTCGGTGGGGGGTTTTTCTTTCATTTGGGTTGGGCCGAAGGAGAAGCGCCGACGAGGGAAAGAGAGAAGAATGAGCGTGCGTGCGAGTGGGAAGGGACGAGAGGAAGAAGGTAAGTGGAGCCAAGGCAGTCGATGATGGGTTGTGCTGCATGCAGTCGGGACGAGGCAGATAAGACCGGCGCCAGGCCCAATTCTGGGTGGTAAAGTTGGTCTGCCGTCTGCACCTGTGTTGTGTGTATATATATATATATATATTCATGGATCATCGTGGATGGCCTACGACGAGAATCTCGTCTCGTCTCAACTCGAAAACTTGTATACAAAACATACCACTTCCATCAACGGCAGCCAGCCAGGCCTACCCAGCCTCCTCCTCCTTCTCATCATCATCGTCTTCTTGTTGTTCTTCCCTCTTATTATTAACAAACAGACGGACGGCGATTAACCGCTCACTAAACACAATGCCAATTACCAAACAAGAAATGACTCTCCACAACAAAAAGAGAAAGAAAGAAGCAACCACCGACAAGGAAAAACGACCATTTCTCATTCTCTCTCTCTCTCCACGTTCTTACATTCTTCTCTTCTTCTTTTTTGTACGTTCCTTTCGAATACCGAGAAACATTTGAGACATCACAGGTGCACTGGTACCGAGAAGAAAACGAGGAAGAACAAAAAAAGAGGAGTCCTCAATTTACAAACAATGCTTAAGGCCAATACTTTACCAAACTAGTCGTGTCGCGAAGAGTTCGAAACGTCTTTAATAGTAGTAGACTCGGCGGAATTTACGTAGCCAAAAGAGCTCCAAAAAAAACAAAATCGATGCCTATTAAAATAACATCTTCACGTTACATACCAATTTAAACCAATTGACATTTAAAACGTCAAAATGACAGCTTTATCATCGGCACGATTCGTACGCAATCATCGATCTTTCACAATATCAAATTACACAAGCTCAATTTCTTACGTAACAATGATGATAACAATTATTACAATTTCTCACAGATTCACGTAAAAAACAATAAAATGAGTAAAGAAACCGACACGTTTCAAAAGTAAAAACATATGTCACAATTGAAAATATTTTCAAGTGGTCGTCTTTCGAATTATTGTTTGAGCACGATAATAAATATTTTCCTATTCTATTGAAAAGTCTCGCAATTGCAAACAGCTTCGAGTGAGATGAGGTTACGCATTTTATAAATTTGCAGAAACACCGTAAATCATTGGCAATCATTGCAAAATTGCGATTATTAAAGCTGCCAATGTCGAATCGGAATATTGCAGCAAGATAAACTCAAAAAAAAAAAATAAAATAGGAAAGAGTTTTAGAGACGTGACGATGAAATACTATTTAAGTAGGGTCGATACGCTTCGCAAGTGAGGTAGAAATAGTGAAGAATGTAGTAGACAACAATAGTTGTCTTTCAAGTTGCAATTCGCTTACCGAGTTGGAGTCGAACCAACAACGGTTTTTCGTGTAACAAAACGGTGCTAAAAAATCCGCGTTGGACTATTACATGCACTCACATACATAGAGAGAGATGAATACAAAAAAAAAATGGCGTTGCTAATTGGCCTCTAAGCATCGCATAAATATGGCCCGCGCAAATATTTTCGCAACTAAATTTGAGATTTCTCAATTTCGCGAACAACAAAATCATTTTAAAATGTTTATATATGTGAGAGATACACATTAAAGTCTACAACAAAAATAAGTGGATTTTAGCGAGTTTGAGCTATGTTTAATCGGAAGACGATAATGGAAACATTTAGGCTGATAATCGGAATGGGAAAAATAGAACAATAGTTTTGAACGATAAGATTTTTCAATATACTAGCTGCGATTGCAGCGGAATCGAATAAATAAATCTGCGTTGAAATCTCGGTGGCTTTCGCCTCGGCGGAGGCGATAATTTTTGTGACGGATTCAGGTTCTCTTGGAAATAAGCTCTGCACTGTGTTGTGCTGTGCGTCGCCTCGAAAATAAACATGGAAAACGGCTTCGAGCACTTTAGATAAAAATGTATTTCTCCTCACAATCGATCCATTCCCACGATCGCCAATATACATACATACACACACACATATATATTTGTCCAGCTTTACAAACAGAGCTGCTAATGAAGCCGGTGTCATAAGAGTCTCGTAAT